CATCATCATCATCATCATCATCATCATCATCATCATCACCACCACCTACTTAAAAATTCCTCTTTTCCTTTTTGTGTGTTTTTTGTGTTTCTTTTTTCTTGAAACATAACAATTTGCACCATGTCAATACCTTCAAATATTGGCATCAAAATCAAGACATGGGACCAAAAACAAAACAACAACAAAAAAACAAAACAAAAACAAAACGAAACAAAACAACTATCGTGTGCCCTTTTTGATAGTGCATCAGGTCGTGAGTGTCTACCAGAGTGGTAGAAAGGGTGAGTTTGTTTGTTTGTTTGTTTGTCTGTTTGTTCGTTTGTTTTTTTAAGAAGGGGTGGCAGAGCGGCCACTTACTTTACATTTTTACACTGTTGCGACAATCAATAACATATTTTGTATTCAATACAAAGTGCAATCCTATCTGCTCAAACGACTACTGTCCAAGACAACAATCACTTGTGCAAACAAGCTCTTCCCACATCCCTCTTTCATCATCATCATCCGGTGCCTTGCCGACTGGCATGGGCGATCATGGACCTCCACTTCCATCTGTCTTGCGTTGCAGCAAAGGCGTCTGTTGTTCTTGCTGCTCCCAGCCATGTTGTCAACTTGTCCAGTATCTTTTCCCTCTGTCTGCCTCTGCCTCTCTTTCCATCAAACTTGCCTGTTGTTACAATATTCTCCAATGGGTCTTTCCGCAGTGTCTTCACATCATAATGCCACTCTCCAACAAGACCACCTGTTTAAGATGACTACTTTTTTCTTAAACAAGTGGAGGTCGTCATGGACAGGTTCGACGCTGGTGTATTACTATTCTTCTACTCACCAAACAACAGATGGAAAAGGTCCCACCCTAAGCACAACAGACATGACCCCTACTACATACAAAATAGAGCAGACCAGGTCACAATCTTTAGACTCCGCTGTGGCCACAACAGACTCAAACACCATATGCACACCAAATTAAAAGTGGGAGGGACAGCGATCTGTGAATATGGACACGACCAAGAGGATGCCAACCATATCCTTCAGCACTGCCCGCGCTACGCCACACTTCGCGCACAGACGTGGCAGAATGTGGCTCCCCTTGAGAGAAAACTCTATGGCAGTCTCTCAATGTTGAAGCGAACTAAACAGTTTGTACGCAACATCGGACTGACTGTCTAGCTGCTGTCGTCGAGAACAAGAAGAAGAAAAGACTCACCAAACTCCTTAGCAATGTAACAGTTGATGGCGAAGGACTGTGTGTACATCTTCCCGTCTATCTCAAGGACTGGGACTTGTTCAAAGGGAAATCCTACACACAGAAATATATAAGTATATTATACCCGTTAGATTTTGTTGATAGTCTGGTGGCAGTAGTGGTGATAGTGGCCCCACATTCGCCGAGAACCGACAGGGATTAACTAGGTTATCTAAGAGGCAGGGCCTCCGATTTCACCGTCTGTCTCATATAGGACCAAGCCAAATGGCTTGAGAGTCTTGAAAATTCCACAAAACCTTCTATTTCAAGAACACACAGTCTGGACTTCGAATCAGGGCCACT